TCCATAGACCTGACCCGTATGATTTACATTTTGGTCATGAACCAATTAGCTTTTCGCAGTCCCTCCCCCTTCGCACGTTATACAGTGGTAGAAACTGTTTGCACAGTACACACCTATAGGTCTGCGACCGCTAGACCTCTGTTAGCCTTTTATAATCTTAGCGAAACAAGTGTGTCGTGCGGCCGACCTGGTTTTTGCCACGTCTGATACAAAAATTTGTCAGCATTGCGAGAGCGCTCGAATTGAATGCCAATTCCTTGCATGTTTTCTTTGAGCCCAATTCGACAAGTGTGTTCCGCCGGTTACTCTGGGGGTGTTTTCACCAAGAAGTCTGTGGGATGCTTTGCAAACATTTGACTAACAATCGTCGGTGACCAGCGTAAATCATGTCTAGTTTCTACAGAGCAGAGCAGAGCAAGCTAAAGTGGACAAGCGCTTTGCACAACCGTTAGTGGTTTTAACAATAATGTTTTCAAGCCACGCTCCACACTACAGCACTGTGTCTTCATTTATTTACACCACCTAGAAAGTTAGTACGATTGCTTGTCTAGCAGCATTTGTTCTCAAACTTCATTTCGCCAACTTCCCTATCTTCACGTATTAATAACAGGCAGCTAGCAGATGTTGCTTTGTAAGCTAGGACGCCATTCTTTTTAACGTCCGACATGAAAAAGGAATGAACTGCAGAGCGCCAAAGTCAAATAACTCTAATTTCGATTGTTAAAAAGACACGTTTTAGTACGACAACTATATGGCAGTGTTGTAGGGACATAGGTATACGTACACTGGGTATGATATTGGTTCGCCGGCTGACTGGCCCATGCCGTAAAACTCGATATCGAGATGCGATCATTCTACTACGGTAATGGTGCAGCTCTGTTTTAGATTCGGAAACAAAGTTACAAAACGACCTACGTGGATTTTGTCTGCCGGAGGCGTTCTACTCGCTCGATTGGCTGCAGGCGTGCTACGTGACGCCTGTGGACAGAAATTAATGTAGAATAGAAATTAATTTTGAACTTTGCCGCCTATGCAAGTTCACAAATCAATTAGGTTATATCCAGGTTTGTTTTAAAAGGAATCTGCCATAATTGACAGGTTTCGGACAAAGAAGTTCAGTGATATGCGCGTGTTTTCTAAGCTTTTCACCAATTTCTTTTCCGATATAGCGTTGAAGATTTGCGTCTACTTTAAGGTCTATAAAATGCTGTAATACACTTCGCTTGTTGTATGCTTAATACCATAGATATATCAGAGGTAAACTATAGGAATCTGATAATTTGGACGACAAGCATCGTTTCGAGAAAATTTTGTTCTCTTCGTTTGTGATTCTGTGGTTTGGTCGTTTGCTTTCTTCAACGATTTAATAACAGTCTTCTCTCGTCCGTTTTAGTCGCTCACTATTTATTTGTACAGTGTCTTAATATTCAGTAGTGAAGAAATATCTGACCTTCATGCGCTTTTATAGCGTCATTTATCCGACGAATTTATTAATAAATTGAAGCACTAATAATTTTAAATTTGAAACAAACGTTCAATTTAGCGGAGCAATGATGCCTGTGCTAATAAATCACTAACACATTGGATTTTAATATAATCCTATGCTTGATGGCCTAGGATTGAACGGTATCAACATTACATCATAGCGAGTCGTCCGGATTTGCTACCGAAAAACGTCACTTCAAGTCAAGTATCAACGATGTGTAAAGCTTTACGTCTTTAGTATTTATAAGTCTGTTTAATGCTGTACTATAAATTCAAATAATTACACTCGAGTTGCAACTAGTTCCATCTTCGATAGACTGTTTCGACCTAGTAAAGCAAATTTTCACGATAGAACGCGCGCGTTTAGCTACCGCAGTAGTTGTCCTCTTGCTGTCTGAACGCAATGGCGGTTACCTAAGGAATCAAATGATCTCGAAGGCTGCAGGTCCTCTGCTAATAGCCGCAGTTGGGGGTGCAGGTTTGGGTCCAACTTATGGAATGCTGCTAAGTGAGGGGCATAAAAGGAAAGGAGGTAATCACATTTATCACTACGGTGACTACGGCTATGTCGGCGACGATATTCTTCAAATCATCAATCTTGGCCCCCATAACGGAAAGGGCACCTACCAAGATCTGACGCATGACACGCATCGCGATAGGAAGAAGCAGTACCGTTATGATGATAATAATCAGAAAAAAGATCACGGCAACTACGACGGTGCTCATCATTACTGGAGATGATGACTAAATAACCGTTAAACGATCAATTATGTAAAATTGACTCGGCCGCCGCGAAGGCACAAATCAAATTAATGTTTTCAATTCGCAGTGAACTAATGAAAACTAACTTAGCCGTTTCCGAGGTTGTAAGGAGTACTATAATAAAACAGTGTGTGCAATTTCTATTACCTTAAAGTGGACAACGGCTATAATGGATACTAGTGAGACTTCGCTTTGTTATCTTCCCCATAACGGGTCGTCATATGGCTACACAAGGAAACTATTAACACCTACTGAACCCATGTTCAGTAATATCCTCAACAGAGAAATAAAAAAACAACAACTTCTTTTAGTAGATTTCAGTTTCAGCTTCGAGGGAAACACAAATAAAACTGAAAATTTTTGGTAGTTACACACTTTAGTTTGATGAATCGATTTTCTTCGCCCAAATCTATCATTTTAGGGGTCAGGATAATCCGATAAGTATAATCCGGTTAATAATAATCATCATTATTATTACTAGTATAGCAGAAATAGACTGCTCCATTCTGCAGGTTGGGGTCAACGGTCGCTGGTTGATTTTGCAGGTGACTATTTTCCTTGCTTGATGACGAGTTGTTTGGTTAACGGGACGTCTCAAAAAAATGTACCTTAAAATATTCTTAAATAAAAATTAGATGAGGACCATGCACTGAAAACGTCAGTGTTCGTAACGTTAGCAGCTTATTTCATGTTTTTAGTTGGATTTGGGTCTCCTCTGAAGAAAGAGCTTTAACTGGTGACAGAGGAACGACGCTAATTACAGTTGTGTGTAGTACTACGTTTTATCGGACGTGTGCAGACTGATTGTATCAGGCTGTGAGACATCTTGCTCACTTAAATTGCTCCTACATGAATCTCGTAGTACCTACGTCCACAGAGTGAGGCTGCTTAGAGTATACGTAAACAAATTAAATTATAAATTATTCGCAGCGTTATCTTCTGACGGCGTTTCACTTGTAGGACGCCAGTGTACACAATAGGTTTGTTCTGATTTGTTCAAATAGAGATATAATAAGTCGATAAGTCGAGACGCGCTTGCGCGTTGATAGGTGAAAAATATGGATGTTCTCGTTGCACAGATATCATCGATCTTATCGAGAGAGTTGGGGAAGAGTCATCGAAATAATAATAATGATACTAAAATACTCATAGAAGGGGTTGGGGGCAAGGTGTCCTGCGTCTTTGAGGGCCATCGCAACGGACCTAACGCTTTACCCTCAATGTTTCAAGCTTTACGTCCGGTGTCGCCGTTAGACACTCCATCGGACGACTGGCTCCCAGCACAGAACCAAGTCTGCCTATGCCGGGATTCGAACAACATGTCTTTAAATCAAATAGGCTTATGCTTTACCGCATATACAGGATCAGTGTCTATGTGTAAAGGAACTATTGAGGTACATGCTGAAGTAAGTTTTGAAGCCAAAAATAATTATAGCGTGAAAGCAAACCAGTGACATTTTCAACGTACTTATTGTTACTACTATTAAAGTACTTATATCACTATTGTTACATTTAAAAGTCCTCATTTTGAAGCGGATGCTTCAAACTGTTTCACACTGCTAAACGACGGAATGCATAACTATAGGTCCATTCACAATACGTCTTAGTTTTCTACATTGCCGTTTCCTACGTTTCGATTTCCTTACCCTTTTAGTATTAGTGTATGCGTTTATACACGGAGTCGTTTCTCGTCACTGTATCGTACCTCCGAATTTTGACAAGTTCGCCATTACCTGGGTGAGGTTCTTTGCCCAATAGGCAGTAATAAGACGGACCAAAGTGCGTTTGTACATGTAACGAATCGACGAAATGAAACGAAGGGCATAGAATATTACGAAAATTTGTAGTAGGCAATTATTGAAAAAAAAATAGCATAAACTAAACTAGATGCACTAGTATGTATATTTTATATAGGTTACAACTTACCTATTTTAACTTATGTACTAATTGATAATTAATCGTTTAATTAATTTCGCTAGATATCTGCTATCTGGGCTAGGGTACATGTAATAATAACAACAACAACAACAACTTACTCTACAATAAGAGATTATTGAACTGAGATTATAAGATACACTCAAGCTCAGATTCGTAGTCTGTAGTTATATACAGTAAAAGCATTAGTTATTGCAGCAGTTAATTAAGCTTTGGTTCAGTTTAAAATAGATTTCTTTTTTATGGGTGTCAAACAAAAAAGCGGGGAAACCAAACACGGCCACGTAATCGTGAGTTGAAAACGGTACATTTGCCAGTCTGTAATAGGTGAACCCTTTTTAGAGTTTCAGTTTTTGTATGTTTATTTATAGATTAATATCTAGTTTCATTAGACACGTTAGACGAATTTACAAGCCACCTTATTTAACGTAGCGGTGCCGGCTTCATATTATTATTGTTATGTTATATATTACTACGAGGTATCATGACATTAGCTAATACTTTTCGTCTTGCTGGTGGCCACGTCTCACTGCAGTATAAGAAAGACTTGATTTGATGCCGTAATTATGTAAAACAATTGCAAATAACCGCGTGGTCGGACTTTTTAATAGCCCACGCGTAACGCACCACTATTCGCCAGCGAGAGCCGCTCTCTTTGAACATTTAGCGGCTTTAGCAGGCGGCTGCTGCTTTGTCCGTCAGCTGTAGGTAATCGAGTAATCGCCAACGTCGTCGTCATAAGCAATGTTGATGAGTTGGATAACACCGCATAGTCTCTTCATCTCTCTGCAGCGGCAATCCGTCCTACCCTTGACGACATGAGCCTTTGGGGTAATCCAATGAAATCGCACACATTCCGCCAGGCGTTTAACATCAAGCATCTAAGCTACAATAATAAGCGCGACGGCATCCTTTCGGAGCCGGTTATCACAATCAACCCTTTGTGGGGGCAACACATTTCACACATCACGGTAGTCGTAACGAGCAGTTTCACAAAAAAAAAAACAAAGCTAAAATGAGCAACAGAGCACACACAGATAGCGGTTTGGTAAGTACTAAGTCCTCCCGCCCTTCTCCACTTGCTTGCTAGCGCTGCCCGATATAATTCGCTGGGGCAGACGTCCCAGCGCAGATCACTTTCCAATCCATTCAAGAACACATCGCCGTCCTGTGCTCTTAACAACAGGTTGTTCAGGTGCACAGCACTACCAGCATAGGTACGGGAGCATCATCTTCCCTGCCCAATTGGTGGCGTCGTAAACTCGCTCAAGGACGACCTATCCCCCCTTCGTGAAGACCTGCGAACACGCGACGTGAGAACCGTTGTATCATAATGCTGCGATTTTTGGTGTGTCTCATAGTGTTTATGGGAACTCTGATTTCGCTTGCTCAGAGTGGATTTGGCGGCGGCGGTGGTTGGGGCGGTGGCAAAAAAGGTGGAGGAAATGTTGGCGCTCTTTTCGCAGCTGGTCTTGGTGGCAGTGCGCTAGGTCTCAGCTATGGAGTGCTCCTAGCGAATCAGGGTAAGGGCAGTAAAGGCGGTGATCATCATCACATCTACAACTACGGTTTCGGAGGTGGGGGTAGCGGAGCTAGCGATGTACAGGTGATCAATGCTGGCAGCGCCTACGGCGGCTATGGCGGCTTCGGCACTGGATACGGCGGTATTGGCGGTACCTATGGAGGAGAAAGCCACGGCAGGAAGTAGATCTCGATGTGGACGTATTGATACGAACACTTGAAAACTATTAGGCGACCAGGACGATTTATTCAGCTCCTGGCACATCAGTTAGTATCAGCTGCTCTGGAAGTATGCCCTGTATTTGTTCGAATCGAATTATAAAGCGTTGTATCATCTTCATGTCATAGAAGAGTCATGAGTGTTTGGTAGCCATATGTCTTGTTGTACAAATCTCCTATTTTGTGCAAAATACTAGTCCATTTAGGTACTATTATCATGTTGAGCTTAGTGCACCTGTAAGTCGTTATGTGATTGTTAGACAAAAGCATGTCTAAGAATAGTGTATTATAATTCTTCTATCTGATGTTGTGAGCGTAACGTTAAGTCAGTGGGGCATAAATGCCAGTACATTGTTCTACATCACATCTGAGATGCTCAGCGGAAACAGCCGTCCGTTTGAACCATTGTCAGATCTTAACTTTGCTGCCAGACGGCCTTCCGCCAGAGTTATCTACGTCTCTTTGTATATATATATATATATATATATATGTGGCGCATATGTGTGTGTGTGTGCGTGTGATGTGTACGTATGTTGAATTAGAGATAAGTTATCGGTCAATAAAGTTTTCCGTGGTGTGTATTACTCGTTATATTTATTAGAAAATTTTTTATGAATTAATTACCTTTTTATGGTCTGTAATACGTACCCGATTATCGTTATATTGCTATTGGAAAATACGTATAACTAGAACGTGTTACGTAAGTAACAAAGACGACAATATGATCCTGTATAGAACAAATCGAATTAGACAACATAAGGAAACCCTTAGCGTCGAACCAATTTTTACCACCCAATTTGTAATGTTCTGATGTTGGTAGAAAATTCAGCTATAATTACCATAGCTGGATAAAAAGCATGTCTGCTTCACGCCTTCGTGATTATAGCCATAGCATAGACCAACAGATATTATTTAATCGAACAATCCGTTTGTTCCACGTTGCAGACGACGAATTTTTTAGCACTAGCACAGCGTGATGGTAAGTTGAATGGGGCTTTATGACAAAAATGAACAATTTCCTAGTTTATAGGGTAAGAAGACTCTACCTTCAATTTTTATTTATTAGAATACGCCGGATTTACTTAATCCTAGTGATGTTTTTTTTTTAGCATATCTAATGCTTACTTTCAAATCGTACATTTCAACTCAATATTAGTAGCGAGCAGATTTCGCAAGCTAAACGGTACGCTAGTCTTATTACACGCTCTCAAATCCAATACTTTGAAGACGTTTGCTTTAAAACAAGCTGGACTAATAGTTACTCGTTTACGTTACAAAGTTAAAGTCTAAGTGAACGTTTCGACAGAATCTGTGGTTTTATTTTTGGACTTTTCAGTTCTATTTAGTGAATATCATGTTTACTGATCGTCAACTACTGAAACAATTTCTTTTTATATATGAGTATGTCTTTCTGTTACGGTGGATAATTATTTATCAGGTCCGGTTTGATATGTTGTGCGTTTATACGAGGTATTTACTTTATTTAGAATAAAATATTGTCGGTGTATTTATAGACGCAAGACCCTTTGTTTTCCAAGTGACAGCCCAATAAAAATAGAAGCAAACAAAACAAAGAGCAAGAAAAAAGCTCATGGTGTTGATTAGTGTAAAATTTGAAGGCCCAAGGGTATACATTCATTATAAATAACACCGCCGGTTCGGTTAAGGTAAGTACACGATAAATACGCTTCTTAACAAATGATCCGATAGCCCTTCTACTGTCCTATGCATATAATCTGATGAAGGATCCCATCATAAAAATTATTGACTTTCCGCCGGATGAATACACAGAAGTTTGTATATAAATGCTGCCTTTTTCAAAATGTTCAAATCAGAAACAAAGTATGCTGTTAGCGTACGTCTCGTAAAAGTGGATTGTTGAAAAAGTATTGGCTGTTCTTAAGCCCAAACTGAAGGAAACAGTATTTTATATTAAACTAATGTTACTAACCCAAATATTCACCATTCTCACATACGATATATGTGACTTCCTGTTATTTCTCCGGTAACACCATAATCCCATCACCATAGGTCTCTAAATGAAAAATTCTCTCAAATTATTTTTACATTCCTTTATTCAAACTAAATCAATACTGAGCTTCTTTTGTAGTTAGCCTATTCAAAATTGGTTAAAGCGTTTTTGTGGCGGACAGCTAGCTTCACGTATCGTTGTTAGTTAATTTTTGCTTTAATTTCATCGTTTTTTTTTACGGAACTGGTCGATTACGATGAGGAGCATCTTTTGCCAACCACAAAACCATCATTAAGTCATTTCCTTCAATAACGCATTTTAACCATAAATATCACAACTTTTTTGAACTATGGCCAGCATGTGTGTCTCTGTAGATAAAATTGTAACATTTATTCATTTTGAAGAAGTTCTTCGTTTGACTAAAGGTATTCGAACAGCGCTATCGCACTTATAGCTGTCAAACGACAGCGACGTAACCTGTACGATCTAACTTGAAGTATGACTTTGAAGCAATCTAGTTAAAAAAAAAAACAAACACAGCCCAATACGCAGCTAGTATATTATGGAGGATCTGCAAATAAGGATGCTTGGAATCGTATGCACAGAATGATTTCGGAGCCTACCTACTATCTGTTAGGCACTTCTTTGTTTGACTTCACACAGATATTAGTTAACACGGATATCATTAGTTCTTTTTTAGATACTAATTATAGATATCCTCTCGTTTATTTATATGTGTATACAAAACATGCGCAATATATGGTGCGTTGTGACTAGTACACTAAGCACCATGAGTGTAGTACATCGTTGAAAATAAATCTTAATTTGTTACTTATATATATATGTATAGTGCTTAATGCGAGTAAAGTGACATGCGCGCATTTTTCAATACAATGCAATCATCTACCCTTTGTGTCAAGGTTGATAATTTGAATGCCTTCATCAGCATGGGTTCTGTAATTTCCGTAGTTATAAACATGCGTTTTTGCACCATCATCACCTCCCTGTCCTGACACAAGATAACCGTAGCCCAGCCCTATAGCGCCGCCTGTAGCGGCCGCAAGTAACAACGGGCGGCGAACCTTCTTCAGCATATAATCTTGGATCCCCCCGTGCGCGACTGCTAGAACTGTCGCGAGAACAATAAGACCTGTAAATACTCTCTTCATTTAGTCGTCTTCGTCTGTTGTTGTCGTTGTTGCCTGAAAGATTAAGCGCCATAGTTAGTACCCTCTGCGCGTAATTACCGCTGGCAATACTGTTTTAAACCCTCAAATAAACGCCGTGTGTATATATATATATACATATATATAGTCCTGGGTATTTTCAATACAAGGACGATATATTTTTGAATAAATTGTATTTGTCAATAAAGGATAGGCGAACTTGGTAAACCAATTAGCAACGCTAAGATCCGTGGAGGAAGTCGCGCTGGCATCGAAATTACCATCTTTGATGGGTCAACTGTAGGAGATGTCTACTCGTGTGCATCAGCCGGCATCGTCCCGGCAGTCAAGGGAAATTCCGGTTTGAGTAAACAGAACAAGCTTTCGTGTGCAGAAAGTGTGGGCGAGCTTCAACCATATGTTGGGGCAGTACGCGTGTGTTTCGGCTTGTCTCAATAATCCTTGGCATTTCGGTTGCTATTGCTACAAGATCGAGGTATGACCCGAATAAATCGCATCTGTGGTGATATTTATTGGTGTAAATCTTTTTGTAAGCTTATCTTGCAATAACTTTTAGGTAGTTCGGGGGAATACAGAAGTAGTGTCATAAACACATGACGATCTTAAAAAATGTTTGCTTTTTTATAAAAAAAGAACTTGTTTTATATTTAGAGATTTGAATTCAATTTACGTTCTGTTCTACGTCTAAAAGTCGGTTCGACCACACGTGGAGGTACTGAATTGGAGAACATCTTCGAGCCTATGCCCTTCCAGTTGAAAAGGCCCCAACATGAATTTGCAAACTTGTCCTATATGAGGCTGAAGGCCTGCTGGCTTTAGGCTAATCTTAAAAATTGCCTATAGAAGCCAACGAGAACAATTACACTTTTTTTTTTTAATCAGAATTTAGGTTGCAAGAAGACGGGAAGAGTCGCCTTACTGATAAAGACAATACCAAAGCAGATAATAATAAGGATAAATAGGGAGATGAAAAACTTTATGAAATTATTTATTTGAGCATGTCCCCGTATCCTCATATCCTTAGCAGACATAAATAGAAGAAGGAAACATAGTCGCTTATTTATTTTTGAAAAGTCGAGGAGAGGAAAAGCATTTTTTGCCGTAAGCCTTGCCAAGGCCGTGCACTTAGGCATGTTGACGAATGGGTAGACAATGAACTTTTTAAAACTGTTTTGACACCTAATGGTAATAGAACATATATATGTTCAGTAAGTAACCGATTTTGAAAGCTTTATTTGATTTAGTTTGCGATTTATCTAATTTTTTCGTGTCTTTTTCTAGAACTAAGGCTTCCAATTAATCGAGTTTAAAGCTATATTCTGAAGGGCCTTATCAACCAACTTCCACCCAAAATTATTTCTGCACTCCTTTTAGAGAACTAGGGAACGATGCATGTTTGAGAACCCAATCGTAGTACTCTTCGAAAACCGTCTGGAATCGTCGGTGAGCTATTAAGGGGATCAATAAGATTATAAGATGATCAGTGCTGAAATAATTATTATTAAAAAATTCTATGAACTGCATTGCTCTCACCTGGAATCTCAGTAGTTCGTTGTTGACGGCTCGCACTAACAGATTAGAATTAGCTGATGTTTTAAATGCTCCGAACGACTAAAATTTATCAATTAACAGATTCCGCGCCAGCAAACGCACAACGTCGGCGTCCGTTATATAGGCGTGCGAATGAGGCAAACTTGCCGACCGAGCAACAAACTAGACCCACTGGTGTGGCAAGGGCAGATTTGCCCCGTCTCAACTTACGTAATGCTTCAGAAGCAGCGATCATAGAACCAGTCTAACACTTACTGA